AAGAGCGTCAGACCGACCAAAGGGTTGTAGACCGATCGAAAGTTATCCAAACTATCAAGGGGTCAACTAGGCCAACAGGAGACATAAATCCAAGCCAATTACTAGACAAAGGACTAACACCTTCAACAATCCAACAAGTATGAACGCAAAGCTCTCTCAATGGTTCTCTTAAGAGATTACCAAAGTATTAGCGATGGAGCCCGATCCTTGCTTCCTTCTGCATCCGTGCACGCGTGAAGTGACTTTGCGTGTCGCTTCACCAGTTTCATGCATCGATTCCTGCGAAGCGCTTGCTCCCTCCCCTGTTCCCGATCGTGAAAGGTCGCAACCGCGACCCTGTGGTTTCGCAAATTGCTCCCACCTCCCCGGGGTCGCAAACCGAAGCCGCCCCCCCCCCCTCTCCTTTAAGTTATGAACAGAATAGGAAGAAAATGTGAAGCCACGATTTTGGTGCTCTTCTTCAGTTTTCCCGAGATAAAGGAAGGTTTTCTCGGGATAGAGGAAGGAAAGTGTAAGCAGTAGTTCTTTGTGGTAAAAGGAAGAAGAAGAAGATTGTTATCCTTTGGCTTCTTCTTGGTAGCTTGTGGCAGAAGAGAAATTGAGTTTATTTCTCTTGTAAGTTTGTCTTTTTCGGTATATCTCGGTGTAGAGTTTCTTCGGTGTATCTCGGTGTAGAGAGAGAAGAACAGAGAGAGAAGAACAGAGAGCAACGAAGTGAAAGATTCCTCTTGTAAGTCGATACGATCGATTGATGTAAATTCCTCAAGTAGTAAAATCCTCTGTAACTCCGTGGACGTAGGCAATTTGTCGCACCACGTAAATCTGTGTGTTTCGTTGTGTTACTGTTTTCTGGTGTGAATATTTCTCGTTCTACTTTTCGCTTCGTTGATCGTTCTCCTATTTGATTTATATATATTTCATATCAACTAGTATATCTTATCACATCAACTAGTATTAGAGATTTGTTTGGATCTGAGGAAGCATGATGACTGCAAATGAAGTGAAGATTTCAGGGATCCAGAAATTTGATGACACGGATTTTAGTTATTGGAGAATGCAGATAGAGGACTACCCCTATGGGAATAAACTTCATCTTCTGTTATTGAGGAAAAGACCTGAAAGGATGGTTGAGGCTGATTGGAATTTGTTGGATCGACAAGTTCTATAGGTTATTATATTAACCCTATCGAGGACCGTTGCACACAATGTCGTCAAGGAAAGTACGACTGCAGATCTCATGACAGCCTTATCAGGTATGTATGAAAAGTCATCAGCGAATAACAAAGTGTACTTGATGAAGAAGTTATTCAATTTGAAGATGGCGAAAGGTGTTTTTGTTGCTCAACACCTGAATAATTTCAATATTATCACGAATCAATTTTCGTCTGTTGAAATTGATTTTGATGATGAGATACATACGCTGATATTGTTGGCATCATTGTCAAATAGTTGGGAAGCCATGAGGATGACAGTTAGCAGTTATGCAAGTAAATCTAAACTGAAGTGTGATGATATTCGTGATTTGATTTTGGTTGAGGAGGTGCGCAGGAAAGATTTTGGCGAGATCTCAAGTACAAGTTTGACACCGAATGTTGATTTCAAAGGGAGATGGCAGGACAGAAACTCAAATAGAGGAAGATCAAAATCAAAGTCTGGTTAGCAGACAACCTGCTAGAATTGTGGGAAGCCTGGCCACATAAAGAAGAACTGCAGGAATCCTAAGAATATAGAGAATGATAGTGAAAATGTGGTATCTGAAGAAGTATAAAATGCACTATTGCTGACAATCCATAGTTCTGTTGATGATGGAAGTGAAGAGGAGAGTGGGTCCAGGGAATCCATTCGTATTATTCTACAGACAGATGATGGAGAACCACAGAGTTATGAATAGATCTTGCAAGATGAAAGTTCGAGCAGGTGGGAGTTGGCAGAACTTTCACCATGGAAGAAGACATTATAGAACAAGTGGGTGTACCGGGTGAAGACTGAACTTGATGACAGTAAGAGGTACAAGGCTAGACTTGTTGGAAAAGGCTTTCAGCAGAGGTAGGATATTGCTCATGCAGTTGGAGTTGTAAGTAGAGACGAGTAATTCAAGAAATAGCTTGGAGGTGCAAAGCTATGTTGACCCTGCTGATATGTTGATGATATGTTGACTGTGGGGTGTTACTCTTGAGAAACTGAAGTTGTGCGCAGCTTCAGTTGATCTTCTGGAGCAAAGACAGGCTTCGAGTTTTTGAAGAAAAGAAGCTGCCACCAGTGGAGGATTCATGTTTGAAGAGAAAGGGCGACACCGCCAGTGAAAAATATTAGTTTGAGGGAGGAGATGTTGTTGCCTGTGTATAGGTCTCCAAGTGGGAGATTGTTCGCAATGAAGCCTGATCCTTGCTTCCGCCTGCTCTCGCGCACGCGTGAAGAGACTCTGTGCGTCGCTTTGTCAGTTTCGTGAATCGGTGCATTCCAGCTCCAGCCCACTCCCGCCCCTGTTCCCAATCGTGAAAGGTCACAACCGTAACCCTGCAGTTTCACGAACTGCTCCCTTCTCTAGGTTCGCGAAACGACGCTGCCCCCGTCTCCTTTAAGTTGCGAACAGAAGAGGAAGAAAATGTGAAGCCACAATTTTGGTGTTTTTCTTTGGTTTCCTCGGGATAGAGGAATGTTTCCTTGGGATAGAGGAAAGAAAGTGCAAACAGTAGTTTCTTGGGTAGAAGAAAGAAGAAAGAAAGAAGAAGAAGAAGATTAATTGTTCTCCCTTGGCTTCTTCTTGGTGGTTTGTGGCAGAGGAGAAATTAAGTTTATTTCTCTTGTAAGTTTGCCTTCTTCCGTGTAGCTCGGTGTAGAGTTTCTTCAGTGTATCTCGGTGTAGAGAGAGAAGAACTGAGAGAAATGAAAAGAGAGCAACAAAGTGAGAGATTTCTCTTATAAGTTGAGACGATCGACTGGTGTAAATTCTTCAAGTAGTAAAATCATCTGCAACTCCGTGAACCCAGACAATTTGCCAAGCCACATAAATCTGTGTGTTTCGCTGTGTTACTGTTTTCTCATGTGAATTTTTCTTGTTCTACTTTTCACTTGGTTGATCGTTCTCCTATTTTATTTATATATATACCACATCAACTGGTATATCTTATCACATCACAAAGAACAATAATCAAGCAAGTCATTCAGCCATCCTACTGAAGATTCGACTGGCTTGCCATAGCGCAAGCTAATCGGTGCCCAAGTGAAAGCCGCCCAAAACTAACTCTGTTGGCAGACCCAAGGGCCTGTCGAGCAAAAGGTCCAGGTGGGCAAAAAGACCATAATAGCTTATACAACCCTTCTAGAGCAGGGGTAAAACATATAGTTGTACAACTTGTCCATCTGTCTCATATAAATAATGGAACCATATCATGAACTAAAACATTTTGGACTCTTCTCACTAGACCCTTCTTCTATAGGGAGTCTCTCTCTCCCCTTTTCTCTCATAACCACTAATTTTGATATATAACAAAGAACGCAAAGCTCGAAAATACCTCAGTTTGCATGAGAGAGACAAATCATTATACACTTCCTTCTCTCTTCCTCTCTTTCTCTCTCTACCTCTTTCTCATAATTCTTAGGGCTCCATTTCTTGAGCATGCCTCAAAAGACAAATCCAAATTCAACATCACATTTTTAAATTTAAATAAGTGCTATATTTTATATGAAATAAAAAATATTGGTGGCAAAAAAGTAAAAATAAAGGTTTTTGTGTTAGATACTTGAATATATAAGAATTGGGCGGTATATGAGAGACCGCAACAGCAAGCACCCTCAGAGAATAACTTTTTCTTCGATTTCTGTTGTATGAACCAAACATATAACATCTGCACGTTATACTGAGATCGCCCAATTAACCCAAAAAACAAAATGGAGCCACTCCGTTATTGGAATGAAACCAAAAAAAAAAAAATAATAATAAAATAAATTTATCACTGCACCAATTCGCGTTATATTATGGGTGTCACCCTAAAATATTAGTCATTTAACACGAAAAAAATTACGTCACTACATAAATGATATTATGCGGATAATGACCGGGATATAGTGAGGAGGGCGGAGGTCCGCTTCCTGCGCTCCACAGGTCGTTGTTGTCCGCACTTCGGACTATGAGATCAAATATTGCATTTGAATGTAAAGCTAACTAAATTTCTATTGGTTTATGTACTAATCATTTTCCAAGCAAGAAATAGCAGAGATGCCAAATTGCTAATGTCCCGGTATCTCACAAATTGGTTCCCCGGAGCATGTCTCCGAGGTTGACGACGAAGCCACTCAGTGTGGGCGAGGCGGCGACAGTGCTCCCCTCCCCGCCGTAGTTACCTCCATGGCCGATCTACATCGGTCGGTCTGGAACTGCCGGAACTTCAACATCCCCTTCCAGAATCCTCAACGCTTCCTCAATAGTTGGCCTAAATGCCACCATGACATGCGCGCAGAGGATTCCCACAAGAACAAACCGCTCCATGATCCCCTTCGGCCCGCATCCTTCCCCGCTCACAAGTCCCCTGTCGAACACCTCCTCAACCCTCCCATCCTTCACAAGCTTCCACGCCCAGTCGGTGATAAGCACGATGCCGGATGGCGACGCCATGTCCAGCGCTCGCCGCCCGCTCATAATCTCCAGCACCACCATTCCAAAACTGTATACATCGCTTTTTTCAGTCAGCTGCCCGTACAGCGCGTACTCCGGCGAAAGATAGCCGTGAGTACCCGCCACCCGAGTAGTCAGATGCGACTGCCCCTCTCGGCTTTGCCGCGCAAGTCCGAAGTCCGACACCCTCGCCCGCATCTCGTCGTCAAGGAGGATGTTTGTGGCCTTGATGTCGCGGTGGAAAATCGCCGGCTTTATTCCGTAATGCAGATAAGCCAGGGCCTTGGCTACATCGAGGATTATGTTCTTCCTCTGCGGCCAGGTGAGTGGCGGACGCTTGCCAACGCCGCCGCGCAGATCGCGGAAGATGTACTCGTCGAGACTGCCGTTGGGCATGAAGTCGTAGACAAGGAACCTCTGCCTTCCTTGTTCGGTTTCAGCGTCAGTGATACAGCAGCCTCGAAGGGGGACGAGATTGCGGTGGCGGAGGTTGCTGATAATCTCTACCTCGTTGCGGAACTCATCTTCGCCCTGGAACTCTGATTCGAGAACGTGTTTCACGGCGACGGGGCTGCCGTTGGATAGGACGCCGCGGTAGACGACTCCGAATCCCCCGCGGCCTATAAAGTTGCGCTGAGAGAAGTAAGCGGTGGATTTTTCGAGCTCTCGTATGTTGTACCAGATCGCGCCAATGTTGGGGCGAGTAAAAGAGGAAAGCTGGCTATTTTTGGAGTTGGCTGCGGTGTTACAAGCCCTGTTCTTTCTCTGTCGGCGGGAGCGACAGAGATAGAGAGCAAGGGAAATGGAGACGAGAAGAAAGGCAGCGGCGGCAGAGGAGGAGGCGTAGATGGCGGCGTGGGAGGGTGATGTGGAGGATAATTGGGGATAGGGACGAGAGGGGGCCGAGAGACCTAAGATGCAGGAGGAATCACGGGGATCCTCGGGGCCGAAGTTATTGGCGATACCGGCGGCGTAGGTGACGGTGAGGTAGAAGCAATTGGTAGCGTGGGAAGTGTTCCCGTCGAGAGCAGTCAAGCGGGAGGAGAGGCAGGCGGCGCACCTAGTGAGGTCGAGCAGATCAGGGGCGCAGGAGGTATCAACGGAAGTGGAGTTACCAAGTCTGATTTTCCAGTCACGGAGAGACACGATCCCGTCGCAGTAGTCCGGAGATATGACGAATTGCTCCGGAGAAGGGAAGCAGGTGGGGACTAGGGTGGAGGGGAGAGAGAGCTCGGAAAGCTGGGACTGGAAGGACGCTAGGCAATCTGCGGAGGCGGAGATTGAAGGGAGACGGAAGAGGGATGTGGAGCGGAGGCGCTGAGAGAGACCGATCGCCAGCACGCTCAGCAGAGTCATGCAGCAACTGCTCATGTTCGTGGTGTCTGGCAGGCATGATGTGCGATCCCATGGGAAGTGGGAGACGTAACTCAGGTTCATCGGACAACTCTCTCGGACACCTCTCTGCCCCCGCCGGCGATGCAGTGGCTGTCGTCAGAGCTGCTGAGGCGGCAGCGACGAGCAATAGATCTAGGGTTGGGAGCGGAAAGTTCAGCATTTTGAGTAATGGGATTAAGAAGTTTAATCTCTCTTTTCTATGAGATTAGTTTAGGGTTGGGGACGGATGCGAGAGGTTTCGTGCTGGAGGAGCGGACGAGCTTCAGGCGGGTCAGATGTGGCGGCGGCGAGGGTTGGGCTGCGGAAAGACAGAAAATATTATATCAAGGGTGCTCATGCAAAAATGCATTCCCCTCACTATTATTAAATTATTTAATTTTTTTTTATTAAGAGGACCCAAATTATACACATCGCAGATAATGATTGGAGTAATTATACATTTTTGCATCAGGACTCCATAAGAATTGATTTTTATATCCATATCATCTTATTTCTGTGTGACAAATTGTAGTTTATTTTCTTAAAAGTTAATGATAATGATATCAAAATTAGTCAAATACGCTCATTCCTCCCTCCTAATTGAAACACTACATAGAGCTTTTTCCCAAAAGTTACGTTGGCCTTGCTTCTTCCTCTTCTTCTGCTCAAACGTAGAAGTCGATCGTTACAACCTTAATGCTTCTTCACCCTCGCTTGCACGATGACATCTCCTCCCATAAAAAGCCAACTTGTGGCTTACTCCTCTTCCTCCTTCATACCAGAGCCGCTCGATCAAGTCCTTCATCTTCTTTGATCATGCTCGACTTCTCTCTCTCAAGAAATCGAGTTCTTTTGGCTTATTAAAGACATTTGATGGATACCTAAAAAGCAGGCAGATTTTGTTTTCTAATACAGCTTTAATTTATTTCTAGGTGAACTCACACTCTGTGCCCTTACACAAGTGTACGTATCATTTTAATAGTATTAGACTTTTTGAGTCTGGATTTGCGATCCAACAGAAAAACGAGGGAATTAGACTTAGAAAAAAGTTCCAGTCTACTATGTTTCGTTTTTAGCTTGAATTGAAATTAAGTGAATGTTCTACAAACTACTTCTACAGAATTGCAAACTAGTTTAAGTTTAAATCCTACAAAAAATTTACTTATCCTAATTAGATTTGGTGATTATCAAGTTATAAAGCTTCTTTCCCTTGCAATGATCTGTTATTGTGTAGAAAATGTAAGGTGTCAATTGTGAATGCGGCTAGTGACAAATAGGAGTAACTCTTTTCTTTACCATCTCTCGAGTGCATAAAAAAGTTTGGTTAAATTGGTTTTAATTCCCTATACTCCAATTTGAACTCATCAAATATTATATCCCTAAAAATTTGCATCTCCCTACAAAGTACTTCACCATACTCTATAGATCAATGTGAATAACTTAGTTGTTCTACCATAGCTCTCCCGAGTCATTACGGATCATAACACATTTTAATAATTCACTTGGCTAGAATGAAAAGTAAATGAAAATCAGGAGGTTACTCATCATATTAAAGTTAAAAAACCAATTTTAGAAACACTTTACACTTCTATACAACCTACTCAATCATTATAAAAAAAAGCAAAAGAGATCTACTCAGAAAACATGAAGAACATACCACAATGCATCATTTGAAACAAGAAATTCCACTAGTAATTGTGCTTACCGAAATATAATAAGAAAAATATACAATACTCAGCATCTTCCCATTTACAATACTTAGAGAATGCTTCCTTAAGGATCTTCTGGTCCTTGTTGCTCTCCTGAATATCCTCCTCACAATACAGCTCAAAATCCTCACCAAATGATCAATGAAACCTATCCTATTCTTTCCTAAAACAAACCTTGCCTTCTCCTCTACCAAAGTCTTTTTTTCTCATCCTCAAAGAGCTCTTTAATCCGGTTGAATAACTCCTCAACTTGCAGATTCAAACTACTAAAACTATCTACACAGTTTTCAGGGCCTAGAAGCAATGGGGCTGGCGCCTAGGCACCAGTCTTTCTGCCTGCCTAATGGCGCCTAGGCGCCCAAAATTCTAGCGTTAAGGCATTGGTAGTGGTGCCTAAGCGCCTAAGGGCTAGCGCTTAAGCGCCAGCCTCTCGGATTCTCAGGTCTGGGACTGGAGCCTAGGCACCAAAGAATTTTGGCTCCTAGCCGCCAATCCCTTGTAGCCACCATAGCTCCAAGTTACCTCCACTACATTTCTTCTCCACTTTGATCCACTTCTAATAATTGTTGTACCTGTAAGAAAAACAAAAAAAATACATTTCTTTAAAGTGCAATTTCATCCATAAAAATATGCAAAATATAAAGGAAATTAAGCATTCTTTTTTACACATCAAAATCCCCCAATTTTAAAGCTTACTTGTCCTCAAGTAACATTAGAATACTAATACCAAATTTATTTAATTTAAGTGGTTTTCATAAAAATTGTCAACAATTTGGCCATAGGAAATTCATAGTGTAAGATTAAAATGACTCAAATAAAGAAGTGTAGACCTAGGTTGTAAGAAACATTGCATCCAAATAAGAAAAACCGACTTTCCACTTCTAAAAGAAATGATTATTTGCTAAATATGGTATCTTAGATGGTATAAACACATAATTGAAGCACTCCTTTTTAATTTAAAAAGATTTACTAATCCTTATTAACTATTAGGAACTTTAGGATGGTTAAGATGCTTTAAATTTAAAATGAACCTTGTGAAACCAGTTTTTAATGAGGCTTCTTCTCAAGCTTCTCCCCACTTTATATTTTCTTTTTAATATCTCTTCTTGCTTTAGGATGTAGATTTCAATTTTTAACATAATTTTATGTGTATTACTATATCTGGATAGATCTTTTAATAGTTTTGAATTCGACTATCATCTCTCTAAAGTCAAACTCACCACTCTTTTCACTTTTAAGTTTTTCAAAAGTTAAGAAATATTAGTTGAAAATATGATTTTATAGATGCTCAATTCTTATTAAGTGTATATCTAAGTGTAACAAATTTAACAAGTATATGACTCTTTTCAAAAATAAATAATCAAATAATTTTTTGTACCTATTGAACTACAAGTTAACTACACACTAGTCTAGTCTCATTTACATAGAATTTAATATAAAGAAATTATGTTTTTTTTCCCTAAAATTATGATAGTTTTAAACTTAACACCACATTGCTCAAATCTGCTTAAGCATATCAATTCAAATACATGTTACTTACGAAAAATAAATTTAAGCTTTTAAAAGATTTTTCTCCCTCTCAAACTTAACTTTTATCATATAGAGCAATTTAAAAAATGAATACAAACAGGGAGAAAATAGCATAGAAATACTTCCTACCACATGTGTCTACCATTAAGATGAGCAGATATATATAAGACAAACATATATGAAGTAGTAAGCAATCAAAGCAAAACATAAATGAAATGAAACTACACTAGAGAAAATCTAAATATTACAACGGGTAACTAAAAAAAATAAGACCATAACAATAAATATAAACTGATCAAGGAAAATTCAGTGGCAGCAACAAGAAATAACAAATATAGTTTAGTACATCCACATAGTAGAAAATAAAAATAATGTCCAGTACATTCACAAAACAAAAACAAAAATACTATCCAATACATCCACAAATAGTAAATAAATCTACTCCTAATCATCATCTTCTTTTTCCTCCTCATCTTATTCTTCTTCTTCCTCATCCTCCTCCATCGGTTGCCTATGCTCATATATCTCGTAAGGCGGACACACTGGAAAGTCCACTGACTTTAGGGGTGTAAACGAACAAAACACGAACGAACAGAGCATGTGTTTGTGTTCGGTTCGTTTGAAATTTAGTTTGTTTGAAATAAGCTCGTGTTCGAAATTGTTTGTGAAATCACTGTTCGTGTTCGTTTCTTAACGAACGAGCCGAACACGAGTCAAACACGAGCTGTTCGCAAACAACAAATCAGTTTGACATCCCTAATATTAATATATATAAAATAAATAATATATTATATTAATTATATAACTTATATTATACAAATATATAATATCTATATTAGTATATTACTAATATAGTTTACCAATATATTATTATTATTAATTTATTACATTATAAATTTTAATTTTTTAAAATATCATAAATTATATATATATATAATTATTTTAAATTATTTTACATTTCGAACAATAACGTTTCAAACATGAACGAACGCATCACTGTTCCTGTTTAGTTCCTTTAACTAACCGAACGAAAAAAAAAAATTGTTCACGTCGTCTCGTTTACTCATCGAATGAATTGAACACGAACTCATGGACGAACCAAACACGAACTGTTCACGAACAATGAGCTTTTTTTGACAGCCCTAACTGAGTTGTCCCCTTTCTCTTATACATTTCCAGTTCAACTCCTGGGAAATTGGCATGATGATCAAATTTGCTTTTATAATATCAATCCAAATGTGAATAATGTTCAATTAATCAATACACTTAAATATACCTAATTACTCTAGTTTAAAATTAGGGAGAAAAATCTTTTAATGGAAGAAGCAAACAACTTAGGTACGATTTAAACTTGTTTAAACCTACTATTTTTGCAGACGTATTGAGGAGGAGGAGAATGAGGTTAAGCCATTGTGTTGAATTTTTTTCTAAACACTGCATTCCTCCAATATAGTCCAATTTTTTATGTCTAGATTGGCTTTAATGGATGAAGCATCTCCTACCCACTACTTGTAGAAATTCCACACACTGGCACAAAGAAAAGATAGTATACGGATGTCCCAAACCAAGAGTAATTCCCCCACTTGTGGAATTTACTATTGAGTAATGAATAAGGGAACCTACATCAATGGATTTATTATGTTGGATACAATAATTTATGAAAGCTTGGTCTCTGGTCACTTCATTAATATTAGTCGAAGGAAGCATTTTAGCTGAAATAAAAGTGTCAAGCTTTCAATATTCCATTTAGTTTGGAAGTAGAAAAATTGATCTTATTGCCCTCATTAACTTTTTATTCTCCTCGACCATCATTTACAGAATTGAAAACTTCATTTAGATAATCACCAGTTAAAGTAAAAAATATGTAGAAGC